GTGGGAGACGCCGCTCGTTGAAAAATAGGTCTCCCCTATTTTCCCGTAGTTGGGACAAAGACTGTTTGTCTGTTTGAAGGACTTTAGTTGACTAAATCTTAAGATTTATAACGGGCCCTCGAGCTAGCCGAACATGTACTGCGGAGACGCATCGACATCTGGCAATCATCTTACTCGAAGAATAGGGTCCGCGTGTGGCAAGCCACGGGACAAAAACCGTTGGAATGTTTACTGTTGCGTGTCGCCACGAATATTTCTTTTAAGGAGAGCTATAGAATTTCTCCATACCTTTGTTAGACAAAGCGTTCATCCCGTGACCGCGGCTACGTTCGGCGACTGACTGTCGCCTCGAGCCCAAGCTCATTATCACAACTCTCGAACAATTACAATCGGATTGAATAACTACAATTGTTCAATTACAGCTATAGTAGACTCTAGGTTACAATGTTGCGGGATTATCCAAAATTCCAAAGGTTCCGGTGTTCTTTTATCTCCGACATATATATTTCGTATATGAAAATTAGTTCAGCACAAATTACAAGTCCTGGTACGATATACTGTCACGGAATAAGTACACGTTATCTTCGAGAAACTCCATAGATACTTGCTTACGCGCCCGAATGCTTCTGCAGCCATCGATGAACTTCACGCTCGTGATTTCGTCTGTTTATATATATTGGTCTGGGGACTGTTGGAAAATTTGAACTCGACTGCGTTTGACGGTTGAAAGTAGCGGTGACATTGTTTTGTTCGGAGTTCATTACTCCTTGCAATACCCGTGACCTAACGGTCATGATACTCCGAAACAAAACAATAACAGGATTTGAATTGTCCTGCTCGCGTGCCGCTACATTACCCCCTTCCAGTGATAACATTTACGTTAAAATTTTTTTAGGATATCTACGAAGTTTGTCTTGTCGTCGCTATCTTACTATCTTTACACCTATCCGACATATTAAGGCGTCTAGTCGAGACCTGCCTGGAACCGGTCGGGAAAACGAACTCTACGTCTATATCTCGTAACATACCTATTACTAGTGCTTTTTGGCGTTGTTTTACCACTGTTTGCGCTGTTTTCATCGTGCGCATTCGCTTGCTTCACCGGAATAAGTATATCGCGAGGTTCGGCGGTCTTGTCTTCAATATCGTCTGGGACACCGAACGCCGGTTTTAGACGATCTATGGAAACCGTTACGACGCGATCGTTTATTCTAATAATATAATTTTTTTCGAGGCGTTTGATAACCTTGTACGGTCCGTCGAACTGAGGCTGTAAAGGGCTTCCTATGGTATCATGACACAAGAAAACATATGGCGACGATTCTAATTCCTTAAAAACGAAGATCTTTCTTTCGCCTTGACGCGTAGCCGGATGCGGCCTGACCTTCCCCATCTGTTCTTTAAGCCGTTTCGCATACTCCGTGTTGGCTTGCTGCTTAGTTTTGCTGAAAAATTCCACCGCCAATCGTATGTCGGTGCCGTAGATCATTTCGGCGGCCGTTGCGTTTAAGTCTTTATGCTTTATCGCGGTTCGGATGCCTAACAATACTATTGGCAGAACCTCGACCCAGTTGCTCGTGCCGTGGCACTTTATCGCCGCTTTTAACTGTCTGTGTAGCCGCTCTACCATCCCGTTAGCCGCGGGATGATAGGCGGTCGTGCGTATATGTTTGGCGCCGAGCAACTGGCACAACTCTTTGAACAACCGTGATTCAAATTGGCGTCCTTGGTTGGTCGTGATTCTTAAAGGTACGCTAAAACGTGCTATCCAAGTATTAAGGAGTGCCTAAGCAACGGTTGCCGCTTCCGTGTCGACAATGGGAATAGCTTCGGACCAACGCGTGAAACGATCGATACACGTTAGGCAATATCGATATCCTTGTGAATATGGTATGACGATAATGTCTAAGTGTATATGCTCGAGCCGGCCCGCTACCGTTTTGAACGTTCCGACCTGCGAGGATACGTACCTGGTGACTTTGCAGCGTTGACATGGTATACACCGTCGCGTCCAATTTCGATAATCTTCATTGATGGACAACCACACGAAACGTGTTGTCACCAATTTCTGCGTAGCACGTATTCCGGGATGGGAAAGACCATGCAACGACTGAGATACAGTGCGACGCAACGGCTCCGGTACATACGGTCGCGAGGTTTCGTTTGTAAGATCACAATAAATTCCGATGTCCTGATGGGGAAATTGTATTTTTTTCAATTTCAGCGCGCTAGAGCCTGACTTAATAATTTGATGTAGCTCTGCAACATCCGCTTGCGCTTCTGCTAATGTTTGGTGATCGACGGATTTCCCGATCGCCTCCATTCGTGATACGGTATCGGCTACCCTATTATCAATTCCCTTAATATGTCGATGCTTGTCGTAAATTATCCCACATAATCGAACTGACGGCATTGTCTTGGCGAACATTTGTCAGGATTTTGCTCAAACGCATATATCAGGAGTGTGTATGATCCGTGTAAATCGCGAAATCTCTCCCTTCAACAGTGCGTTTGAATCGCTTTATCGCCGTGTACATCGCGAGTAATTCACGGTCGTACGCGCTCTGCTTTCGTTGCGCGAGGGATAAGGATTTCGTCATGAAACCTAAAGGCTGCCAGGTATCATTGACGCGTTGTTGGAGTACCGCTCCTATTGCGTAATCGGAAGCATCGACCACGAGGCTAACGGGGGCGCCAGGAGTCGGATGCGCTAACATTGTCGCGTTAACTAAGGCGCGCTTCGACTCGTGGAAGCTCTTTTCGGATTGCTCGAATCTCTCAATAGTCGCGTTGTACTGCGTAGTGCCTTTTAACAAATCGTTGAGTAGTTGCAGTATGTGCGCGACCCTCGGTATGAAACGTCGATAAAAGTTAATCATGCCGAGGTATCTTTCTTAGTTCTTTAATACTAGTAGGACGCGGTACTTCCATAATCGCTCCAACGCGTTCAGCCAGAGGTTTTATTCCCTCCGCGGTAACGGTATAGCCAAAGAATTGAATTTCGAATTCTGCCTTTGCCTGCTTGAGTCGATCGGGGGGTAGGCGGCGTGGTTTCGCGTGGACGGGGGTTCCAGGTATCGTGCAGATATGATGCTGCACTCCGTGCTTTATCGTACTTCGCCTGAAGACGGATGGTCGAGTCAACGCCAGGAATTCTGTTAATAATCGATGGTAGGGGGATTCCTTGTCGATGGTCCTAATGGATCCTACGTCGGTCTCAGCTGCGGATCCCCTTGTAAACAGCTGGGTAGTCTTGTCCAGGAGTCCCCTCGTAAACAGCTGGGTAGTCTTGTCCAGGAGTCGCCTGTTTCGCGGGTCGACGAGTAACCCGTAATGGTCCAAAAAGTCGACACCGATGATGAGCGTTTTCACGTCGGCTATCAGACAACGCCACTTAAAATCTCGACGCAAGGCCAGATCGAGGGACAAGGTGATAGCCCCATATGTCGCGATACGGGTTCCGGTTTTTCCATAGAGTAAGGATGAACTGCTTCGAGGCCAAGGGACTGGCCAGCTTTCTCAGATCATGGTACAATTGAAATTGCGTATGGTCACCCATCAGCTCTTTTTTTACTAGCCTCTTTACCCTTTCGCTGTCGGATTCGGCCAGACTCCGTATCAGCTCCTCCCTTAACCGGTCATACTGACTGCCGACCGAGGAATCCAAATCAACATTATCCAGTCGCTCCAAGTACTCTGGTTCGAGGCACCCGAGCAGAATGGTGGCTTTATCTGTCTCTCTCTTGACTTCCGCTGCCTCGAGCTGTCTCTCCAATAAGGAGAACCAAAATGATATCTTCTGCGGCTCCATCGGAGACACGCGGATTGGTTGCGGGGCTATAAGTGTAGCGTTTTGCTTCGCCATCTTCGATCGCGTCGGGGTCACCAATGTGGAGGATAGGTCTATTCCAGTATCGCGAAATGATATAGACGAATTATTGTCGTATGCAATTCGTGAAATATATTTTGTATGTGAGAATTAGTTCCGCACAAATTACAAGTCCTGGTACAATACACTGTCACGGAATAAATACACGTTATCTCCGAGAAACTGAATCCGACATATTAAGACCTGCTTGTAACCGGCCGGGAAAACGAACTCTAAGTCCATACCGCGTAACATACCTATTTCTTGTACTTCTTTTTTATGTTTTGTCGTTGTCTGCGCTGTTTTCCTCGTGCGCATTCTCTTGCTTCACCGGAATAAGTATATCCCGCGGTTCGGCGGTCTTTTCTTCAATATTATCTGGGACGCCGAACGCCGGTTTTAAAGGATCTATGGAAACCATTACGTCGCGATCGTTTATTCTAATAATATAATTTTTCTCTAGGTGTTTTATGACCCTGTACGGTCCGTCGAACTGAGGCTGTAAAGGGCCTCCTATGGCGTCATGACGCAAGAAAACATAAGGCGACGTTTCCAATTCCTTAAAAACGAAGATTTTTCTTTCGCCATGACGCGTAGCCTGATGCGACCTGACCTTCTCCATCCGTTCCTTGAGCCGGTTCGCATACTCTGTGTTGAAATGCACTTATGTAGAAGTAATGTAGAAGGTGTATCTTGTCAAATATCACGAATTATTGTCTGTATGTTTGTGAGCAATTTATTACAAATAATACTTTGACACAAAGCACAAGTCCAGGTATAATAAGTTTACGAAATAAATACGCGGGTGTCAAGAGACTCCGTGTACACGTATGATGCGTCGGTCTGCTTATGCTGCGACCGCTGCACTCTGTCGCTCGTCATTTCGTTTGTTTATTTATACTGGTTGGTATACACTTGGAAAGTTTGAACTCGACTGCGTTTGACGGTTGAAAGTAGCGGCTACATTGTTTTGCTCGAAGTTCGTTACTCCTTGCAATACCTGTGACCTAACGGTCATGGTACTCCGAAACAAAACAACAATAGGATTTGAATATTTCTGCCTCACGCGCCGCTACAAACTTAACGATCTATAGCTTATAGTTTACAATATACAACGACACAACAATTCATGAGTCCTCGTGCAACTCTGTTTTCAACAGTACGTACAACAGTTCCAAAATTATTTTTAACACCCTTTTCGACCTCTTGCTACGACGCTTGTTTCAACTTTCGTTACAGCGCCCGCCGGAACACTCTTCTCGATCCTTCTCTTTTTTTGCGTGAACGGTACCTTCATAGACACCTCGCGCCCGGCTTAGTACTGCCGGATTCATACCGGCTAAAACCTCCACGATAACCCTCCGAAGCGCATCAGGAGCGGCCTTGGAACCGCGAGAACATACTCACGATCCTCTCCCCACCCCCGCCTCTCTCCGGCCCTGGAACCGCGAGAACATACTCACGATCCTTTCACCACCCCCGCCTCTCTCTTCGATGGCACGAAGTGCAACTAAACGCCCTGTTTGGCAGGATAACCTCGACAACTCTATGTCCGTACGCGGCCGTCTGTCTGATCGGGGCTTACCCACCAACTTTCTGGCAGGTTCTGTCGCGCCTGGACTCTAACATCGGTACCTGCAGGGTCAACCGCACCCAACAGACTCATGACACCGCAGGACAGCTCGAACGGGGGAAACCCCGCCAGCATCGCCGCCGCTGTCACATAAAGTCACGGCACAACTCAGATTATATAAAAACAAGAAGGTTGAGCCGAAACACAATTATCAACTTTCTTTTTGTTGCACTTTATTATCCACTTAATAGTCACAATAGAGTATACACTGAGCTGACACGTACAAATTACTTTACTCTGACAACTTTATCTAAATTAAGGAGGCGACTGATCTAAGGGTAGAAACCCGGTAATGAGATGTTGACTCCTCGAAAGATGGAAAATCTGTGAAGTTTAATGATGATATTGTGGCGGAAGAAGATTAGGAGAGTGAAGGAAATAGACTTCGCTGTCAATCGGCTTATTTCCTAGGTTGGTGGGTGAGGAAAGGTGCTAGCCGTCCTTGAGAGAAAGTTGCTAACGGAAGATACCGAACTTGAGAAACCTAACTTTTCCGTATCTTTTCGTAATAGAGACACCCGAAATAACATTCGAAACGAAAGATGCTTGTTTTTGGTCTGGAGGACTTTAACCATCAAAATGCTAAGATTTATGGTGACTCCTTAAGAATATTGAGGGTACGCAGCCAGGATATGAAGACTACTCGTTAAGTTTACTGCTTAGATCGAAGCCCTGTAAAGGAACTTCGACCGCACCACCCCGCCGTACAACCGGTGCCCCCTACCTCCGGCCTCGTCAATCCGAGGAAGCAAACATCCTAAGGCGTTCGCCGTGTTCTCGACAGTCGCAGTGGACACAGAAGGCCCAGTGGCTGTCGAGGATGGGAGCCAGATGTTCTATCTGATATTCGAGGCTCAGACTCAACCTAACCCGAGCCTCAGACAGTACCCCGCTGGAGTCTTCCCGTCATCTGCTCTGCAATAAGAACCACAGGGTTTCGATCTTCTCAAGGGATACCTCCAATCCTAATCCCATGATGAAGGCATCCACACAGACCACCGCTGCCTTCGGAAAACAAATAGTCGGTCCCCACATCAAGCCTCAGACCAGCACCAACGTGTCGTCTCCGTAACATGTCAGTGCCGATTCCGGGCGCCATTTGTTATCCAAAACACAACGTCGTACGCGAGGTTCCAGAAAACTGGTTCTGGTAAGACCGACCCCTGCAGTTCCCCACGGTCTCCTCGTCTCTCCAACTTCTTCTACTTCAGCTCAGCGATTTCGAGTCTGATATCGACTTTCCAAACATTCATACACGCACGCTCAGTGATAAATTATTGTAAGGCTAAATAGCGGCGAGCTATTACCTCTTCGCATGGATATAACGTAGAAATATACTGATTGTAAATTTACATTACTTCTAACTCAAGATGTTGGTCTTTCTTATAAACGCAAGATTGACACATATAGAAAATTGAATATAATCCAACATGAACTACATTTAATTTTTATTACAGATACCAATCTTCCGTTTATTTATAATTCTAACTTCATTACATTATTACGAATTACTTACTAATTCCCCTTAATTTTAACGCATGTATTATGAATGCTTTGTATTAATTTCTAGAACATACATTAATCCCTTATAAATGGGGTGAGAAGTCGTTCGAACAATGTACGAACTGTGTGCATATGCATATTTATCATTTATCAACAGTAGATAATACAAGAATAACGACGTGCAAATTTGACAAAAGTTAATTTAAATGAAATTTTATATAAGGCACATTCAGTTCTCCACCAATTCCCCGCCTCTTGATTAAAGTTGACACGGCCGACTTCGATCAGATATTCTTCTTATTTACCCTGTGTATATTGTCTCCTGTGCGCGGCAAAACTCTTCTTAGGGGGG